TTATAGGGATGTGCCTCTCACCTTGAATTTTATTTGAATTTCCCTAGACATATTACTTTTTCTGAGCTAGTTAAGGGGAGAGGGCTACATTTGTGGGGGCTCGTCCGGGATCAATCAGATTACTCAGATTGTTAATTCAGAAAGAAATTTAGAAGTGATTTATTTGCGTGTATACTTATTCTGGGGTTTATTTTGAATATATATTTTTCTCTTTCATTCAGTTTTTTTACAAACACATTTTACATTCTTTTTTTTGTAAGTTAAAAAAAAAAAAATGGAGGTTAGTGAGATTATTGCTTGGTGCAGAGACAAAGATGTGGGTCTTGACAAAGTTATTATTCTTAGCAATGTGCCTACAGACTGTGAGGACAGAGTGATCTATAATGTACTAGATACTGCTCTGGGAGTTGGTAAATGCAAAGTGCTTGGTTGTCGCTTAGATAAAAATAAGGAATTTCAATTTGTTTTGATTGAATTTGATGATGACATATCCAAGACATCTATCCCTGCAGAGATTGGAGGACCTGAAGTAGGTCTCTGGTACACACAGGTTGTGTGTGTTGCAGCTGAAGCTCCTAAAAAGAGCAAGGAAGATGAATTTCAGACTAAGTTGAATTTGTTCCTTCAAAACGAAGGAAAATCATTAGCTGACATTTCAAGTTTGGCATCTCCTGCTCCTGACCTCAACACTAAGCTGGTCGAGGCCATAAACTCCCTTGTTCAAACATGTCATGTGGCTTCATCTGAGGAGAGAGGGATATATAGAAAGCTGCGCCCTTTTTCAGGGTTTATACCAACTCCTCTTGGGGAAGATGAGTTTGAGATTTGGGTGGAGCAGACTACACACATTTTGGAAGAGTGGCAGTGCTCTGATAATGTTAAGAAGCAGAAACTAGTAGAGTGCCTCAGAGGTCCTGCAGCAGATATTGTAAGATTTGAAAAGACTGGCAACTCAGCCGCTACTTATAGTGACTATCTTAGTGTACTAGAGTCAGCATTTGGCAGTACTGAGGATGCTGCAGATTTAATGCTTAAATTTCGAAGCACATACCAGAATGAAGGAGAGAAGCTGTCAGCCTACATATTGAGGTTGGACAGGCTGCTCCATAGCATGCTGCGGAAAAAGGGAATTGAGTATTCTGCTCTTAATCATCTTAGAATGCAGCAAATAGTCAGAGGTGCCCTGGCAGGTGACATGGTGGCTATGCGTTTGAGGATGACCCACAAGCTTTGTGAGCCACCTTCTTTCAACGAGTTAATGAAGGAGGTTAGAGAAGAAGAAAATATGGTCAGCAGTAGGCGCACCTTACCATCTAATGTTGCCATGTCTGTAGTGCCCACTACCAAGAAGGATTCGTCTGCTAACAGTGGTACTGTCGACTCAGAAGTAGAAAAGTTAAAGAAGGAGATTAGGGGGCTGAAAAATGAGGTGTCTCGGTTGTCAGCTGCAGCCAAAGAACCTGTAGCCCATGATCGTCCAGCCATGCACAGTCTGGCTGCTGTTGCTGACTTTAAAACTCCAACACGTACAGTAACCAAAGCCAACATATTTTGCTACAGATGCGGGGAAGATGGGCATCTTAAGCGGGACTGTAAAAACGATGAAAATCTCAGGAAAGTAAACCAGCGACTCATCAGAATGAGACAATCTTCGGGAAACTTCTCCGGGGCTCAGTAAAGGAACGGCCTGAAGCTCCGGGAAAGACACGTTCCACAAAGTGCAAAAGAGTCCAAGCTGAGCCAGCAGTTCTTCCAAACGGGTTAGTAGGACCCAGTTCTGTCCTTCCTGTTCAAGTGGAAGGAATCTATGCAAAGGCTTTGTTAGATAGTGGATCGCAAGTTACCCTGCTATACAGATCCTTCTATGACAAATACTTGAGACATATGCCATTGATACCAATAGAAAATTTGGAGATATGGGGATTGAGTATGCAAAAGTACCCATATGATGGCTGTTTGTCTTTGAGGCTGGAGTTTCCAGGATCTGTTGCAGGAGTGGCGGAATCCATAGATGCACTTGTGCTGGTCTGTCCCGATCCTGTCATGAAAGGGGATGTAAACATTCTGGTGGGAACAAATACATCTGTAGTGAAAAAGCTGGTAGAAGCATGCAAAGAAAAGGTGGGAGATGATTTTCTACATACCTTGACTGTTCATCCTGAGATCAGAGATGCTTATGAACGGGCCATAGCAGTTGAAAAGAGTCACTGTGACGACAGCAGAGGAACTGTCTGGTATCTTAACCCTAAGCCATTAAAGTTGCCTCCCGGAGAGAGTGCTAGGGTTTATGGAGTGTTGAAATGCCCTTCTGCTGTTTCTGGGAAGACTCTGTTAGTCGATAAGCCAGAGGAATCTGTGTTTCCAGATGAACTGCTTGTAACCGCCGAAGTACAGGCCAATACTGTTGTTCAGTCAAGAAAGATTGGAGTTACGATCAGAAATGTCTCCTCTCGCACTGTAAATCTTAAAAGAGGAATGCCCATTGCTCATGTGTTTCCAG